CACATTTTTTTGCTATACTTCATGCTCCTGGCGGCATGACTGCTCGATCTGAGGCAACTCGGTTCGGCAGATCCATTGGCAGTGGCTGCGGGTGCACACACATCGGACTTTCTTGCTTAAGAGGAGATGAAGGCGGCGAAGTGGCAATTGGGCTTGCCGAAGTGGCGCCCGAGAGGAGAGAGAGGAGGGGTGGTGGCCGGGCATCGGAGGGGTTGGCAACACGATGATCACACACACCTCTAGTTCACAGATGATGATGCGAAGTTGAATTTTCTTTCGTTGGAACTATCAAATTTGTTTACAAGCCGCAATCACCCCCTAAAAAATGTTTTGGAGTACTTTGTGTTTTTATTCTATCGGTGAACAGAACCCGTGATATATATGTTGTGCCATGGGATTGAGAAGATATAATTACTGTTTGTATAGCATAAACCACACCATTGGAGAAAATATTGGTCAAATTGAAATCCCAGAAAACATGCACGCCTACCAACTACGATAGTGGGAGTATAATGAAATGTTGGTAATAATAATGGCATGAATATCATAGGATACATGCCTCTTAATAGCACTACCTTGCATGAAGGGTTTTTTATGCAGCTAGACATCACATTTAGGATGAGCACAAGGTTCCCAAATTCGGGCTCAATCAAGCAACATATTTGGAGTGCTAGCTGCAACAAAATACTATAATAGTATTGCTGCGTATGGCCATAGATTGGCAGCATTCCGTAGCAACCACGTACTGGAACAGTACCAACTAATTCCCATCTGAACTTAAGAGCACCATCTTCGATCACATCCTGTCAATGCGAACGTCCAGAGACACCTCCTTGGACGCCCCAGAACCAACCAGATACGTAGGCGGCACCACCAAGAAAGACGGCAGCTCCTCCACAGCGACCTCGCCGGGCCTAGTGCTGCTCGTCACCGCCTTCATGTCCAGTAGAATGCTGCCCGCCGCGCTGCTCGGTAGTGGTGGACCATTTGCCCAAACCTTGACAGCGTACCGTGGGCATGGGGACGCTCCTGCTCTGATGCACACTGCAGACACGACGGTGGCCATGTCTAGGGCGCCAACGGCCAGGAGGAACACGCTGTCGTCCCCTTGCCCGTGGAGCAGGCACTGCGGCTCCGACACCCGGAACCGGTGAACCTTCCCATAGTGGACCTTGTGCACTGGCATTGTATGCAGGGCACCCAGGTGGCTGAGGAGCGCCAGCGGTGCACCGACGAAGCCGCAGCCAGGCTCCATGCAGAAGCAGGGCGCATGCAGGCACGTGCTCTGGTGGTCCTCGAGCTCGTTGTAGGGGACGTCGCTCCCGCAGCCGTCGTGGCGACACTTGACCGTCGAGGAGACGACGGCGTCCATCGCAGGGCAGCGGCTAAAGCCACCGCCGTGCTCGCACGTCTGGCACTGTTCGCCAGGGAGCTCGGCGAGGCATCTGCCGCATGCCAAATGCCCGGCATTGCACTGCACAAAAAATTGTATCGGTTACTGACAGTGACATACCTCAGGGTGAATGGAACAAGAGATTGATCAAGCATTGTATAGAATGAAAAATAACCTGGAAGACAGGGGGCTTGATGGGGCGGGAGCAGACGCGGCAATTAAGCAAACTCATGTCCATCTTTATGGTAACTTCTCCGGCTGGCTTCACTTGGCCACTGCTGGGCAGCTCCGCCCTCGCTTTCTTGGCGCTCCGATTGTCCTTCTCCATCGTTGACGGCGAACCCCTGTTCCTTCCCACATCCACTTCTGGAGGAGCCTGCACCCCGTCTGTAATCTGGCAAGAAATCATGGAGGGGAACACAATTACATCATGAACTGGAACCCACAACGACGTAGAGATATTTTTTCTGTGTAAGTCAATAATACAGTCAGGGTAGTGAAGTGAAGAGCGTTGACAAACTTGTACAGAATACGGTTCAGAAGAAGGACCAGCAGACTGCAATTGCTCACCGCTTGTTGGAAAAATTATGCTTTCTTCTGTCAAGGAGTCTGGTGCTGCAACTGTAAATGTAACATTAATACACGCTAGAATTTTGCCTGAGATATATAAAACCAATCTTAAAATAAAAGATTTGTTTCAAATTCATCATGAGAGTGGAAATGCCAGTGCACAAGGTCCACGCTGGCTACATGCATCTCAACAGGGACAAGTCATGTTAATAAGTTTATTAAAGAGTGCAAATGTTTATGAAAAATCTGTTATAAGATATAACCTGGCTATGGAAAATGCTTATGTACCTGATGATCGAGCTGATGTACTATGTAATACTACAGGTTCAACAATGATCGAGCTTGCCATGTTATGGGTTGTTCTAGCATTGCCAAGCTCTGCTGATACAGGATGCTTGTTATTCTCATCAGTGTCGGTGATAGCAAACTGATCGGCCTGAGCATCAGTATTTGTCTCAGAATCAGCACATTTTCCCCCTTCAACAATGTTACCATGTCCCATGTTGTTAAGCACAGGAGCATAAACAGAGTCTTCTAGACGATGTACCTAGTTGAATCAGAGCGCGCTTAAAGTTATCATCTGTTGCAAAAGTAATATGCAACTTCAGAAAAAGAAAAGTAAGTACTTTGAAAGAGGTCGGCCAGATATGATTTCATCTACTCTTTCGGTCCCCATTTACATGGTACAAACGTATTTCAACGGCCAACTTTGACAAACGAAATGTTGGTCACGTGTCATAAAAATTATAACATCAATTCATATTGAAATGTAGATTCCATTGGTATACTTTTTATGTAAATATTATATATTTCTGGTGAAGGTTATGGTCTAAGTTTAATCGTGGAAACTGAGGTTGAAATTTAGGGACAGAGGGAGAGTAATAAACCTGGCCAGTCATTAACATTTGGTAAAAAAAAAAGCCTACGCATGGGATAAATGTTTGTTACAGGACTAAAAATACGTTTATAGAGCACGGCATTATTTTGAAACAAGACACGAGACTGGAAATAGTGTATTTCAAATAAATAGAGTATCACAATTTGCTTTCAAAGTTCAGAGCATAAGTCGCAATTACCTGCAAGCTACCAAAGGGATGTGAAGCTACCCATTTGTTATGTTCCGTAGTGAGAACACTCAAGCGTGGAAAGCCATTTGGTACTTCGAACGCAGCATGTTTCACAAGATCGATAAAAATGACCTGCATTTCAAAGAAAATTATGGAAATAAATTTTGTAAATAAAGAATTGACATTAGCACGTTCAAGCAATTTGTTATCCCGTAATAATGAATAAGTCTGTTAGTGTGGTGAAAATGTTTCTTACACTCAGTATGTGCACGCAACCCTTTACATGGACAAACAATGCATCAGACTCTTTATATTCCCTGGTTCCTTTGATTAGGCAGTCAGCAACCAAATTGCACCAATCCATCCGTTTGAGCTTATCAAGCTGTTGAGCAGCTCCCAGAAAGGACCTGTTGACAGCCACGGATGTATTTGGTGCTAGATAAATCGCAAGTATCGCCATCATGAAGGCTATACAGAATGGTTCCTCCTCAGTCATGGCACACATTTCTGTTGCCACCATCTTCGCATTCTTTGCTCTATTATTGTGAGAATACTGATTGTAAAGAGCGTCATCAACATACACATGTAAAGACCAGTTGGGAGCTCAACCGTACCACCGTTAATTACATGGGATGGCCCACTTAGGACCATCGCTAGTGGAGACTACTATACGTGCCACCAACAGAAGTACTAAGACTACCACAATGGAGAGTAACATACATTAGTAATATACACATATCCCTAGACTATATTACTACCTTTATAGTGGGTAGTAACATAGGTGTGGTGTCATGCAAAGCTCCATTTATTAGGTTATAGACTCATATTACATTGGGACATGTGATGTTACAGTAACTAGCTAAGTTACTATGAGGATGCTTGGATACGTTTTTAGTCCCATGACTAAAAATAGTGGGACTAAAACTTGCTAGCATCACCCATGCTTGGATCCAAATACTAAAGAGACTAAAATCAAGTTATTGAGCATTTATTATCCTCCAAACCCTCCAATCCAAAACTCGCATGTATTAAAGGAGAGGAATTAAATAATGAGAGAGAGGGCTAATACATATTTTAGTAGATTTCCTATGACTAAAAAATTTTAGCCTCAAGACTAGTCCTAGCCTCTCTTTAGTCAGGGGTGCTTGGAACTTTAGCCTTTAAAAGAGACTATTTTTAGTCAGACTAAAAATAGTCCCTTGGATCCAAGCACCCTTGTAGCGACCCGACCCGAATGGGTCAAGTCTCTGTGCTTAAGTGTCATCCCTGTATCGGTATGCTGACACACACAGTATTCGAAGATTTATAACAGAGGTAAATCACATGTAAAAGTAACGTAAATACTATTACCTCAATCCAAATAGCAGAAGTAACAAGGTTGTGGATTTCCAACACCAACGACAAAGTTGAGTGTAGAAATCGTAACCCTAACGTATCACTTACTCGTCGTAAGATAATCCTGCAACATGAAATGTTGCAGCCACAAAGGGTCAGTACATTGAATGTACTGGCAAATTCACACCATAGAGAATGATGAATAAAGGCTATCACTACATGCATATTTGGCTGGTGGAAAGGCTATATAGTTTAGTTTTGCGAAAAGCCAATTTTTCCCTACTGCAAAGGAATAAATTTTATTTAACTATCATGGTGGTTGTTAAACATTGAGAATGGTTGACAGCATTCTCAATCCCAATTAAAAATAATCATTAACAATCCAACAAAATTGATTAAAGTAACATGATGAGATTCACATGATAATCCAAGTACTAGATACTCAAAACGTCCATAATCGGGGACACGGCTAACCATGATTAATTTATACACTCTGCAGAGGTTTGCGCACTTTTCCCCATAAGACTCGATCGCCTCCGTTGGATTTCTCGCACTACATGGTGTTTGAGAAACGGATGACCGAGACATAGTCTTTCAGAAGCGCTAGCACCTTACGATGGATAGACCGTTACAGCTACTTTCCCCTACATCTGCTAGTCTACCCTGTAAGAGTTCGCACGACTTAGTCAACTATGCTAGAGCCCATAGTAGCTTGTGGCTGCACACGGAAGTTTCTAGTATGAATAATCTCATGATCCCTTTGAGTCTGGGTGGCGGTCCATAAAAAAACAGGCAATCCTGGTCTACCCAGGTGCCTAGATAGGCAATCCTGGAATACCCAGGTGCCTCAATCCACCCAGATGTGTGTTTAAGTTACCACCTTAAGTAAACCATTAATTAACAATCTCACATCTGTCATGAGTACTCTCAAAACCCAATCCACGTCTACGAGCATAGCATGGCAATGTAAGCATAACATAATAGTAACTCCCAAGGGTTTGATAATAAACAGGTAATAGGTACTACCTCAACTACTTCTCATGCCATAATTTAGTTAGATCCTAATCATGCAATGTTTGAGGTTTGATCTAATGCAATAAAAACTGGGTATGAAAGGAATATGATCAAAGTGTGAACTTGCCTGCAATGTTGATGAAGATGATTCGCACTCATAACTCTTGATAATTCTACTCGTCACACTCCGGTCAATCTATCGTAAGCAAGCAATAGTAACCACACATAAGCAATCACTCAAAAGATCAGAAAGATCGAAGAAGTCGATTCGGAAAACATCAAAACCAAGAAAATAGCTCTTGCAACATAAAACAATTTCTAACAGTACCAAAAATATGTGAATTTGGCCTTATCAGAAAGTTTAGGTCAAGAGCTTCGATTTGCAAAAAGAATCAACTCAAACGGAGCTACGAAACTCAAGTTATGATCAAACGAAGTTTGAATTCAAATCTGATATAATTCAAATTTTAAACTTTTCAAAAACATGTTTGAGTTGGATTACTGGATAGAGGACATCATAACGAAGACGTGGGCGTTGGTTTCGTTGGATTTGGACTAACGAGTAAAAAGTAATGATCGTTTGAAGTTCAGGGACTAAACTATAAATAATATCATCACAGATAGGTCCCTGGCCGAAATTAAAAAGAAAAAGAAAAAAAACTAAATAACGAACGTTCGCTGTCGAACGCTAACTGACGAATCCGTTTGCTGTGAAAACCTAAACAGCGAACATTCTCGAAATAACTAGGCAAAAGAAAAACCGATCTAATAAAATAAAACCGAACTAAAGAAAAACCTAAAAAGAAAACCGGGTCGGTTTGTACCGGTTCAGGGCGGTTTTCCATCGAAAACCACCGGCGATAGTTAGCGAGTCCGGCGGCGGCGATGTTTGCCGCGGCGAGGCGGACAGCGGCGGCTTCAGCGTCGGCGGCCAACTCCGGCGAGGCGGGGTGGTGGCGACGGTGGCCGAGCGGGCGGCGGGGAGCGGCGCAGGCGACGGCAGCGAGCGGCGCGGGTGGCGGCGAG